TTCCTGAATATAAAATTCATTGCCAATTCTATGCTGAGAGTTTTTCATTTTGAGTACTGTCTAATAACAATATTTTATTTGGGAATGCAGAAGGATCCAACATGTGACCTATGCAGACTCGCTTAAGGAGCCAGTGTTGGCCACAGTTCTGTAATAGTCTGTAATTGCTATGTACTGAATTTGATGATAAAGTGCCAAAATAAAAGAAACTTATGTTAAAATGAGTTCACCATGTGTCCAAATCAGCTAAATACATTCTCTTAGAGCTGTTTGCGAAAAGAGTGTTAGCCAAAGTGCATTAGCCAACCCCTTTGCAAATGATAAGAAGAATATGGAGATAATCGGTTCCCAAAACTACATGGTTGAATGGAAGCAAAGGGAAGATTCTGTGTTCCATTTCCTCTTAGACTACTCATAAAATAGTACAAAACCATATTGTCTTAATTCTGGAAAACAAATAGCTGGAAATTGCATTACTACATGAAGGTTTATACATCCTGTTTATTAAAGTGTTCAGAATTTAAGGAAAAACTTTTGGAACATTTTAATGTAGAAAGAAGTTAGAATATTGCTAATACTAAAATTATGCTTGGTGTTATTGCGAATTGATAATTCAAGCATAATATATCAGGTTTGAAAATTTAATTTTAGTATTAGCTAACTGTAAGTACTCTGACACAGGAACATAGTTTGGAAAGGACTGTGTTGTGTGGTCAAATTTTTTCTACTACGGGTACCCACTTTCTAACATCCCTGTTTATTAAGCTTTATTCTAAAAGTATACTCTTTTAGCTGCATTGCTTCTTCTTATTGGTAACTCCAAAAGCTCATAGGTGTCTTCCTGAGACTAGGGAACCTGGGAACTCTCTGCTGATGCTCAACAAACTTGATAGTCTTGTTGTTTTTCCCTATTCTTAGGGAAGCTGTCAGAGTACCGATTTCATTATGAATCTATGGCTTAAGGGAGTATTTCATTTGCTAGATATATCAAAACCTTTTGAGTCTGGGTTGTTTTCAGTTTGTATACATATGTGTATGTATGCATGTACGTATGAATGTATTCACACAAATATAGTAAAAGTCTGGCAAAAATCCATAAGCTGTAGTTTCAGTCTTCTGCCTCCTTGCTTCATTGAACAGCAGTCTGGGACTGGAACACGGTGCTGAGAAGAAAGCTTTAGAAAAGTTTAAAATTTGTTTAATAACCCCTACAGCAGACAGAAGGCAGCTTTGTTTTAGCATACTGATCCTTTATCAGGTGGAGTAATCGTACTGTATGAGTGGTGCTGAGTAGGGATGCCAATCTCACCGCCGTCCAATCTCTGTCACCACCTCTTTGCTTTTTTGTCCCCTTCCCTTTTTTCAGTAAAACAGGGACCAGTGACATGAGAATCATTAATTTATTAAAGACATGGTTACTCCAGCTAAGAACGATTTCCCCCTGTCCTGAAGTGCATTAAGTGACCATGGAAGGCAAAGACACTTTTCTCCTCTTCTGCTTGGCAGTAAGTTCAGTGGTCCCAGTCAGGCAGCTGATATATCACCAGGACCATAAACTGATTGATGTTCTCATTCAAGGAGCCTGGAACTCGCCCGCTTGATAAATGAACGGTGTCCCAAACCAGCCCTTCCTCCTTCTTGCTGCTGTGATTGTCAGACAACTTTAAAGCTTTTCTTTGGCTTGAGAAGCTAAACAGAGTCATGCTTCTTCGGGAGAAGTTCTACAAAGGGCTTTGCCCTGGGTGGAGGAGGGACAGGTTTCCTTTGATGTTTAGCAGCTGGCACTTTCCAGGTGGCTAAACTTCAAAGGCAAGTGTTAGGATCTTCCTCCAACCTGGTCTGTCAGTCCTTTGTAGATAGCTAGGCTCATTTAATGTTTCACTTTACTTGGAATGCTAAATTGGAAGCCATAAACTCCAGATGGCCTTTTAAATATGTACCGTCCTTCTACCTGAAAGGGGCCTGGCTGCCTGCAGAGCGTTGATGAGGCAGGTGGCACCTCCTTCTGAGCTGAAGGAATGTACTTTCAGCTCTGACCTCCCGTGATCCCAGTAAGTCACGTTACTCCAGTTTCTCCGTAATCTCTCCACCTGTGAGCATGCATGTCGGTATCTCCCCGTCTGACAGGACTGCTGTGAGGCTGCATCTTCTGAAATGCAGAAACAATTCTGAGATCATCAGTACCTATGGGAACCCAGGTTATCACCATTTATAAAAAAGCTTGCCCCAAATGATCTGCCTCCCCGAGGAACATTGACAAGGGCTAGTAGCTGCAGCTGCTAGTTAAAAGTTCGTAAGTCGATTTGCTACAAGATCTTAGTGCACCTAAGGAGCCAAATGCTGCTCGTCTGAATTTTTTGAAGCCTGATCCATCAAAGCTGCAAATACCAATGGCCATGTCTCTATTACCTTTGCTAGCGATGCACATGGCTAGAGTTTGCTATAGCAAGTTTCTGTTTCGCTGGTACTGAAGTTTTTCTGACTGGTGGACTAGCCGGTTCTTTGAGGCCCAACACTGAGTGTGACATTACAGGAGTCTGGGTTTGAGGGCGAGCCTGGAGTTAGCATGATGGTGCACTCCTGCCTCCTGTGAGAGTTATGGGCCAGATCTGTGTATCTCCTTGTCTAATCAAACTCCCAGGGATCCTCCTGGCATGCAAAGGGACCCCTTGTTTGATAGGGTCCACAATCTCAGTCACTTTAAGAGGCAGAAAGTAAGTTTGACTTCCTAAAGTATTGATCTCATGCAACTTTTTTTTTTTTTCCTTTTTTTAATTAAAACTAAATACAGAGTTTTAGTTGCAGATCTCATCATCCTGAAATGTTGGAAAATTCAGGAAATTAGCATAAACCTTCCTCCTTTACTCTAGCCCAAAATGCAATGCTTAGTATTACCGTGCAATCTAACTGCTCACATAGTGCCCAGTTTCTCTTCTGCTACATATTGTCACTCTACATAACGTTCATTCCTTTTCTGAGGCCATCCATAAAGGTTAAGCTGTAATTGATATCAATATTTGGTATTACCCAACTACATTTGGTGTTACAAAAGTGAAAGCAAGTTCTCCAGGCACCCACTGCAATCTAACAATAAAGCTCATGATACAACATTCTTAAAAACACAGTACACTCACAACACTTGCAAGATGTTTGTCTCTAAGCAAATAACATTCATAAGTTGCCTTTTGAAAAGAGATACTGGGAAAATCAAAAATAATCTTGGAAATCTCCTAACTTTAGAGAACTTGACTGAATTAATTCTATTTTTTCCCTGTAATCATAATAATAAATCACTGAATATACCTTCAAGACACATTTATTCTGCCACCAAAAAGCGATTTCAGAAATGTCTGTCTCTCCTGCCGTTAGCATCCTGGGTGCTGTAGTCTACATTCTCTGTTTATCAGTGAGAGACTGTTCAATTTACTCAGGGATACATAGTAGCCTTTGCAGAATCAAAACCAAAGACAGTCACACAACCTGCTAAATACATCAAAGATGAGGTAGGTTGAATAATTGGTTAGCTATTGTTAGATAATGAAATTGTCTATCTTTCACTGATTTAATAAAACCAAAACTTGATAAGAGTTTGTACCTAGAGCAATAATGTTATATGAAAGATGCTTGAAGTAAAAGCATGTTTATAATAGAACAAGAATGTATATACAAGTGATCAAAAAAAATCAATCCTGATCATGATATTATTAGATAAATATTCCATTGTAACTTATTATGTTTGAAAAATGCATGCATATCTATATGAATAATTTGGCTTAAAGTGATTTTGAAATGTATGTATATTTAAATGCACTTTTCCTATTTGAATTCTCTTTCCAGCTGAAGTTTACCCCAAAATGTATCACACATGCTTTTTTCTGGTGACATACATGGCACCGCTGTGTCTTATGGTGTTGGCCTATTTGCAAATATTTCGAAAGCTGTGGTGTCGCCAGGTAAGTCGCTTAGACCAGCTCTTTTTCCTTGCTGTTGTGACCGTGCGCAGATTCCTGTGTACAACTTTCTTCTCTATATGCTCCGCCTTGTCACTTAGCACTCGGATTTTTAAATCCAGCACTGCTGCCAGGTTCCGTGACACTGAACCACCACCTTGGCTAGGCACTGAGCTGCATTAAAAAATGAAGGCAGTCAGGCTGAATGTAAGCCCCTTCTTGCTCATGTCTGTGAAGAGCTTAGAGAAAGAGAAAGAGGAAAAAGCAACAGAAAGGTTAATTACAGGCAGAAGGAAGATCTCTCCCACTGCATCTGAAATGCTTACCGAAATACCTTAGGTGACCTTATTTATACTGCTAAAATATCCTGTAGCAGTCAAAATTAGGACTGACCTTCTCATTTTACTAGCAGTCTGTACAGTTTTTTATTTTTCATTCTACAAAGTCTCGGGTTCATAATAGGTCCACTCTGAACAAAAGTTAGACTAGAAAGTCCAGCTGTCAGAGCTGTGAGACTGGAATTGCCTGACATGAAGCTGGTTGTTATCAGCGACATTTGATGTGAATTATTGACAAATAATTGGCATGATTTCTAATGTGACCATCTATTTTTTTCAAGCTTCAAATTAAAAGTACAGGAAAGAAAAGAAAAATATTAAACAACAACAACAAAAAAAGCACAAGCAAGCAAGCACACAAAGAACATTTGAACTGAAGTGGCAAAAATGATGTGAATTTTTTCAGGAACATTTTTCCCCCTCCAACAATTTGAAGTGCTGTCAGCTTGAAAATAATTTTCTGGATGTGAGCTGTAATCTGTCATACATCAGTCTATGGTTCCCTCTGCTGTCTTCTGCTTTGTCTGGAATTTAACCATGGCTGTAGTCCCCCACCATCCTCTGCCCTGTCATTCTGTAAAGGACAATAAACTCATCCTGTTGAAGATGTGATGCAAAATATTCCATCTCCTGAAAAATGGCTCTAACAATGGCTGATGTTTCCATCAAAATATGCGCATGAATCGTTTCTCTCTTACCATTGTGTCTGATACCATCCAAATTCGAGGCTGTCCTGGCCGGGCCATAATATCTGCCACATCAGGAGCATTTTCCATGCAGTTCAAATTGATCAGTCAGAGAAATCACAAGTAGACTTTAGATTTCTGAATGTTAAAAGTAAAAACCAAATTTTATACTAACAAAAAATATCTCTTGCAAATAGCTAAAATACAGGAAAACCCAAATGTGCTTTAAGGCATTTTGTTATCATCCATTCATCATAATAGCAATTATTCTCACATCTAATCATACTAGCCTAAACCAAAGTTGCGGTTTGTCTTGCTGTTTATCTTTAAATTACTTTTTTTGCTTTTAATTTCTTACATTTATAAGATTAAATAAGAAGACAGTTTGAAGCTAAAATTTAACTTTTACAGTTTGAGGGCACTCTTCATCAGAACAAAGGCTTTGCTCACTTTCTTTTGAAGTTAAGTTAAGTCTAACATAGCTCTAATAGGCTCTGCATTGCTGGATAGTTACCTGTGCTGTAGCACCCAATGACCTTAACACCATATTCCTTCTTAACCTTCTCTTCTGTACTTTCTTTACAATCTACCTCGTTTCTCAAGCTGTCCATTAATTAAGTTAATGCAAAGAAATTGTTCTTACTCTGCACGTAGCCTGAAAATGCTGGTTCCGATTCAGAGCAGAAGTTGAACGACTGCAAACCAACCTGGTTTGTCCATTTCCCCCCTCCCCCCAGTTGTATTAGCTGGCCTATTTCTTCTCAATATTTCTTCTGCCTATATATCTTCCATGCTGACGAGGGTAGGATGATCCTTTTTGTTCAGTGGCAAAAAGACAAATACTTCTACAGGCTTAATGCTATAGATGAGAAAATACAGCTATCTCTTCTCCTAGCATAGATGATAGCACTATGTATAAGAGGCTGCACTAAATGGAATTAAAGTCACTGCGCATCTATTATCAACTGCGACTTGGCTGCAGCCATCAGGCATGTTTCTAAGTGCAGCAGGTGTGCCATAGTTAGTCCTGTAGAGCAAATGAATGCAGTGTTCTTGAATGTTTTATTTTATAATAGTTTCAATTAAGAAATCATGCTGTTTACGAGAACTTCAGTTAAATATAGTGGTCCTGTTGCAAGGTACAATGAGACTTCCAGATGTACGTGACAGGAAAAACACAGCAAACTGTAGATGCTCGCTTTGCCTTACACTTTTTCTAAAGGTTCTTTTTAAAAATGGAGTGTGCTGTGCATGCCAGTTTTCAGATCACTAAAGATAAGACAGATTTACAAGCTATCCTTACTGTACTTTGTGCAACAGCTCTTAAAATTACCGATTGTGTCTTTCAAGCAGATCTGTGCATATAAGCTTTACGATCTTTGAATTAGTGATTCATCATTGTAAAGACAAGAACAATCGTGCCACAAATAACAGGGATTTTGAGTAATTTATTTTCATTATTAGCAAGGAAGTAGTGACTTAGAAGGCTATGTTCTCTTGTGGATTTTAAGTAGATTAAAAGTAACTTCTGAACAAATAAATAGGACTGAATGGACTTATGATAAAAGTGTTGGTACATAATCTGTATTATCAAGTTCCATACTGTATGCTTCGATTTACTGATGTCCAAATGCATTGACACTAAAGCTTACTCTTACTAATAACTAAGAATCCTACCCATTTTTTTATATTGGCAGTTTTGCCAGCTCTTATTATATTTGGAGAGATTTCCTCTGGTTGTAAAACCCTTGATAACAATTTGAGAGGATAGGAAAAAAATGCATAAGAAAATAAATATGCAACTTTTAGCCCCTGTTTGGACACAGCTAGGGGGCTTTTAGCGAATTACTAGAATTACACAAATTCTCCACAACTATCTCTATAACTGATTCATTACTGAAAAGCAAATATATGCATTATGCTGGCATGTGTGTACTTGTACATACATAATATATGTGAGTGCTTACATATATGTATATTTGTAAATGTTTCTGTATACACGCACACAATGCTGAAGTACATCCTTAGATGGTACTGGTTCAGCACCGCATCTGTGGGTATAGAGCTTTTTTTTTTTTTCCCCTGATAAAATTCTTGCTGTATTATTGCTTATTGGTGTAACGGTAGCAAAGCCCAGATGTATGCCAGGTAAAGACTGAGGAAAATAGGACTCTTAGAAAGGTTCTTAGTACAAACTCCTGAAGATCTAGCAATTTAAGATATAGCACAGTATTGCACTGTACATATTGCACTGTATATTGTATACAGTCCCTACCTTTGCTCACCTCTTGCTATTAAAGACTGCTTAAATACCAGAAAAGACCCTTCTACCTGCACAGACAGGTACAAGCCAGGTACAAAACCAGTCATGTTTAACACTTCTGTAGAAACATCCATTCACAATGTTGAGACCAGATACTGTTTCTCTTCCTCTAAATTGCATCTAGCTACCAAGAAATCTGGTCGAAAAGTTCAAGTTAATCTCTGGCATGATCAGAAGGGCGAGGTTTGGCTGAGTTTCTCTGCTTCCATCTCCATTTTGTGATCAGTTCTTGCTGCAAAGATGGTAACTCAGTAAGACTGAAAAGGAAGGAAAAGCTTCTGCTTCAAAGTTAGAAGAACAGAATATTAAAGTACCCCGATAAACCAAAATCAGAATCTTAAACAGTGTATTATCTCAGTAGTGTGTGGCAAAGACACATTGCAGCACTACACCCCAAAGCTAAGTCAGGTAAACCCCTTGCAATAGGACAGCTGTGTCCAGATACAGACCTGATACTGCTGATTTCAGCTGAGTGAGTGGGAGTCCTCAGTACAAGTAAGTGCAAGGTTGGTTTTGGTGGGGGTTTTTTTGCTTTATTTCCATAGAGACATTAGTAAAAAATAAATGTTATAACATATCCCTCGTTCTGCTTTGTTAGTTTCCTGTTCATTACAACACAACTTTGCCAAAACATTCCAATAGTTGTAAATCAGGTTTGGGGTGCACATAAATGCTAAATTAAGGACTTGTCTGTGCAAGGAAGCTATTCACAAAAAAATACATAATAGCTATTCTAGAACAATTCTGCATGTGCATGCTTTTACTTTAGAACAAGTATTTCCATTTTAGATTAATTTTTTCTGAAATAAATGTAAAAAATCTCATTCTCTTCTGGTCAGTTTGTGTGGACAAGCCCTAATTTTTAAAATGTTACAATAGACAATCTGGATTTTTGCAGATACTTTTAAACATGAATTATTTTGCACTCATGAGACTAGTCACCCTGCAGACAATTGCACTACACATGAATAAAACTGTATTTCTACCCAAAAGTTTTTCACAATGTATATTGAAAACATTATAAATGTCATTGTAATAGAGTTCTCTGAGAAAGAGCTTGCCATCTGTAGTCTTTCACATTTGGCTGCAGCAGGAAATAATTTTGAAGAGCTGAAGCTCAGTCTATTTGGCTTGGCTTATGTGAGGACACAAAAACCAAAACCGATTTATTTCTTTTTAATAGCATGGTGCTACATCTACCTGTTGCAAGGTATCTTTGGCTAACCTAATTCTTCCTATGTCTTGGCACTCTTCCATGATTCCCCTCTATTCATCACTGTATGATTCAGTTTTGAAGAGCTTTGCAGGGAGATCCACACCTGAGCTGTGATTTCTTAAGCTGCTTCATTGTCGTCTAGATTGCATATTTGGAAGTTTTATGGCACTTAAAACTATATAGGCTTTAAATCCTTGTTTTTCAATGTTAAAAAGCTGGTTTGTATCTTAAATTAGCAGCATATGAATGGGATAAACTACTCTGCCATACAAGAAAACATTTAATGTAGAACTTTATAGCAACATAATTGTAGTAAGGTTGGTAAGTGTAACAGTTGGAAGAGACAAGCAAGGCAAGTTATGTGGGAAGTAAAGATAATTTTAATACTTCAGTTGATACATTCGGGCAAAAGACAAATTTTTATGCAGTCCTTCAAGTGTGTCTGAAATTAGGTTTGTTTCTTGCAGCTACATCAATTCATTTAGTAAAAAACCCCTACTTCTCCCCGCAAGCTTAACACATCTATTTTTCTCATTACAGCTACCCACAGTACTAGTTTTTCAAAGTGCCCCTTATTTTGTCTTTTTTTAGATCCCAGGAACTTCTTCTGTTGTTCAGAAAAAATGGAAGCCTCTGCAGTCCTCAGCACAGCCCCGAGGGCTGGGACAATCAACAAAGTCAAAGATTAGTGCCGTGGCAGCTGAAATAAAACAGATTCGTGCAAGAAGGAAAACAGCACGTATGCTAATGGTTGTCCTCCTGGTTTTTGCACTTTGCTATCTACCCATTAGCATCCTCAATGTCTTGAAAAGGTAAAGGTTATCCCAAAATGTAAACACTTGGTAAAGCTTCCTGTCGAGAAACAATCCTCTGTTTCGAGATTCCTCTTATTCTGGCAGATACTTTTGAAGGATAAGCTTACTTATTTCACGATAAAGAAATGGAAAATAAGCATAGGGTTGCAAGAAAACATATATCTAACCTATCTGTAGTACTGAAAGTGAAGGCTAGATTGTAGAACCCTTATTAGCAAGCTCTTCCTCATGAAAACGATCTAGCCTATCTCCTCATTAAAACCTGTCATTTACATGGGATTACAGCTTGTTTGCTGTAAATACACCCATGGAAGGGCATTTGCCTAAAGCAGCAGCTGAAGGGTAGCGGGAGAGTGTCATGTTGTGGCTTGGCCCCCAGGACTGTGAAATGCTGGGTTCAAACCCAAGCCCCATCATGTACGATTTTGAGACTTGAGCCTAACCGTTCAGTTTGCCTATGAAGCTCTGTTTTACTTTTTTGCCCTTTTCTCTCCTGTTCATTTGAGACATAATTGTTTACACTCTGGTTTTTGTACAATGCCTGACAGGCTAAGGCTTCGAGGTAATCATACCTCATGAGACCTCTGGAATACCAATAAATAATGACTTATAGCAGAATATTTGAATATCCTAAAAAATAACCAGCCTTTTATTGGTGCTTGAGGAACATTTCAGCTTTTAAGGAATATTTTCAAGTTGGATATGAAGGCTTCAATACATCCCACTCAATTCTGACACTTTCCTGAGGCCTAATTCAAGTACTTTTCATCCTCAAGTCCCTTGGTAGGCGATGGGGAGAGAAAAAAGTATTTCCAGAAGGCAGCTCAGGCCACCTGTGATCTGAACCAAAGAGGAACTACACAGGCTGCCTCAGCTACAATAGCAGAGCAGACCTGTAGTTAGATTTTCATTTAAATGTCAAAATTTAGGTGTAAGGAATCTGGGCAAAGCAGATTTCTCTGGAGGGCCGAAGCTGCTACTGTGGGCTCAGGTTTTGGGTCAGGTCAGCGCCTGTCTGACTCCAAAACCCTAGTTTATTGGAGACTGAGCCTAGAGCTGGGAACCTCAATGACTTGAACAGGTCAAAAACAACTTTTCCCATCTTTTTTTGGCTTACCTGACACCAGCTGACTTTGATTACGTAGAGAAAAGTTATGCATCTGCACCATTGCAAAGTAAAGTACTGATGGTCTCTGTTGTGCTAAACCACCAAGAGAGGAGACTGAGGGATGGGGAGAGGACTTTATTTGCTCAAGAAAGCAAGCACTGTTGAGTCAGATTTTCTGTAATACTGCAGATAGGTCATCAGAGATAAAATTAGGCGAGAAGTTGCCAAATCTTTTTATATGATTTCTAATTTTGCCATCTTTCATGTTTGCTTTTCTTTTTCTGTAGGGTTTTTGGAATGTTTAATCATGCTGATGACAGAGAAACTGTATACGCCTGGTTCACATTCTCACACTGGCTTGTATATGCAAACAGTGCAGCCAATCCCATTATTTATAATTTCCTCAGTGGTAAGTTACAGTTACCTAGAATTCAAGTTTAACATATAGTTTGAATGTAATGAGCCATAGCAAATAAGATTGATGACTGTGTAACATCAGCCCAGTTCCTCCAGTGGGAGCTAGATCCTCTTCTTGAAACAAGATGTTTGATGTATCCCATTACCTACGGGCTGTCTTCCTATAACTATAAACTAAAGTGTACCAGGGCCTGAGACCAGGTTCTTGAATTTGTCCATACCTTTAATTTAATAGAGAAGGCCCTGCCATGACTTTGTTCTGAAACAATTACCATTGCCCCTAAAAACTCCACAGATACTGTCTGGGAGGTAGCACAAGCCAGGGGCTGTCCCCAGTTGGCAATTTATACGCAGGTATTAGATTTTGAAGGCTGTAAGTCTAGTACTTGAATGACCAGACTGTGCCCACTAGGTTCAAGGCCGAAGAACTGGCCAGGATGGTGTTTACTTACTAGTACAGATTTGTCTTAATTTGTATTTGTCTTATTTGGCTAAGGGCAGCAGAATCAGGACCTAAACTGGTGGTATTACAGCTAAATACAGGGAGGCAAAAGTCTATTGATCCTCACTATACATTTCCCCACTGTAGTTTTTTTGTGATGTGTAGTGTGAAGATGATTTGAACAGTTTACTCTGAGACCCAAGCAGACTAATGGGCTGTCGAACACTGAATCTTCTTTTAAAATGTATTCAAGATGAAATACAAATTAGCCATGCCCTCATTTCATAGAATCATAGTATGGTTTGGGTTGGAAGGGACCTCAAAAACCATCTAGTTCCAACCCCTCCACCATGGGCAGGGATCCCCTCCACTAGACTAGGTTGCCCAAAGCCCACACCAGCCTAAACCCTTCCAGCGGGGGGGCCTCCACAACCTCTCTGGGCAACCTGTTCCAGTGTCTCACCATCCTCTTAGAGAAGAATTTCTTCCTAACATCTGATCTGCCTCTACCCTCCTTCAGCTCAAGGCCATTATGGCCCTCTTTAGGTATTGGAAGGCTGCTATAAGGTCTCCCCAGAGCCTCCTCTTCTCCAAACTCTCCAACTCTCTCAGCCTATCCTCATAGGAGAGGTGCTCCAGCCCTCTGAGCATCTTTGTGGCCCTCCTCTGGAGACTCGCTCCAACAGCTCCACGTCCTTCTTACACTGGGGGCCCCAGAGCTGGACACAGTATTCCTGGTGGGGTTTCATGAGAGCGGAGTAGAAGGACAGGATCACCTCCCTCAACTTGCTGGTCACACTTGATGCAGCCCAGGACACAGTTGGCTTTCTGGGCTGCAGGCGCACACTGCCGGCTCATGTTGCGCTTCTCATCAATCAACACCCCCAACTGCTTCTCCTCAGGGCTGCTCTCAATCCATTCTCCACCCAGCCTGTAGTTGTGCTTGGGATTGTCCCGACTCATGCGCAGGACCTTGCACTTGGCCTTGTTGAACTTCATGCAGTTCACACGGGCCCACCTCTCCAGCCTGTCAAGGTCCCTCTGGATGGCATCCCTTCCCTCCAGTGTGTCAGCCGCACCACTCAGCTTGGTGTCATCGGCAAACTTGCTGAGGGTGCACTTGATCCAACTGTCCATGTAACTGACAAAGAAATTAAATGGCGCTGGTCCCAATACTGAAGCCTTGAGGAATGCACATGTCAAGTAATGATTCAGTCATTTAAGCCTACAATTGCTCAACTACTTGTTTTTGTTAGATATGTTATTAATCAACAGACTATCCATGACATGTTTTCATAAATCATTCTAGTTTGTCCATTCTGCCTAGCCAAGAATAATTTAGGTTTCATACCACGCTTCACATATCTTCTTACAAAGGTTGTATGTTTTCTGTCTTTCTCCAAGATGTTGAAATTGTGATTTCCTACTTCTGCCTTAGAAGAACATCTGGGTGGTTTGGGTTAATTTTACTTCTGTTAGCTGCCTTTTTCTAATCTGTAAAGTTTGTTGAAACATGCTTTAAAGTACAATGTTTTCATGAGTCTTTTTTGTGGTTGACAGGGAAATTTAGAGAAGAATTTAAAGCAGCATTTTCTTGTTGCATCTTTGGCATTCGCAGTCACCATGATGAACGGCTCACCAGAGGTCGTACCAGTACTGAGAGTCGGAAATCCTTGACAACCCAGATCAGCAATTTTGATAATATTTCAAAACTTTCAGAACACGTTGTATTGACCAACATAAACACACTTCCAGCAAATGGTACTGCATCTATTAGCCACTCGTAGTATACTTGTCCCTTTGTCTTTTGATGCTGTGGAAATAAAGTTTAATTGTGCATGCAACAATATTTGAATCTGAGTACAATGCAGTGAGAGAAGGGTGTTTACAATCAAGAATTGACTGTAAGAAAAGTAAGTTACAAGAAATATTTTATAGAACATGCTACAACTTTGGTTATACATTGATGAAACAAAATTGCAACTCATTTATTTCAAAGGTTGAGTTGCAGTTGGAGAGGGGTAAAGGTAATCGTATTTTATATAAATATTTTCTTTGGATCTCTACTTTCTTTAGATTCCTAAGTAAATAAAGAACAGGTACCTGAAAGTATGAAAATAATTTTCCCTGGAGTTTCAATGTGTTTATAAACGGCTATATTCTACTCAGAGATAATTCTCTGAAGTTGTGGTCTATTTTATAATAAATATTATAACCCAAATTGGATGTACAGATTGAACTACCTGAATGTCTTTGACTATTTCAAATGATCTGCCTACCATGCGTTCTGGAGTGAGTTTGGCTGATCGAATAAGAAATTCACATTCATTTCTTTTCTCACATTTTCTGTTCTTTTCCCTGTTGGGTGGGTTATTGTGTGTATTCAGGAACAGCTGGGAAGCCACTCTTGATTTTTCTCCAGTAGAGGCTGATAAACAAATGAACACAGCCTGAAATGAAAAACAGGAGTTGTGCAAGCTTTCCCAATTCTGGGTAAACAGTGAAATGATTGTGCAATTCCCTAGCTTTGTGAATAGAAGGAAAATGACATATAATTTATTATTTGATATTTCTCATTACATTATATCTTATATCCCAGCAGGACTTTGCAAGGAACTACACGTACATCCCTCCTCTCATAGGGATGTCAACATTGGTAGTCTAGAAGTTATCTCAGACACTATAGGCTAGGACTAGATAAGCTATATATTTATAACAGAGAAATTGGTATCTCCAAGGACAGCTAATCTGCTCCTAAAATATGTATCTAAAAAGAATTAAATAAATTACCTTTGAAGAAGTCTGGTTTTTTCACTTACTATAGAACAAATGTTGGGAGAAGCATGCTCTTCTCCAGTAGCATTTCCATTCTTATGTGTACGGCACAAGCAAGGTTACAGCCATGAAACCCAGCTGACAGTGTGGCTGTAGATGATGTTTTGCTCTATACCAATTATTTGTCATTATTCTCTTCTCCCTGGCTGTCCTTTGCTCATGGCAGGGGAGTTGGACTAGATGATCTTTAAAGGTCCCGTCCAACCCAAACCATTCTATGATTGGCTTGTAGACTGGAAGCTGTAGTGCTCTGCTGGTCACAGTGGCATCTGGATAAGGAACCACAGGGTATTTACCAAATAATGCATATTAAATAAAGGATACAACACATTAAAAGTGTTTAAAAGTAAGAAAATCAAGGTTTATGCAACAGAAATCCCCTTAGACTTCAGTCAAGAAGCCTTTACTTAAAATTTACAAGTGAAATTTTCTGGCAGACCGTTTTGATAATAGGTCATCACCTGCATAGTGTTCAGAGAGGGACAAGCACAGGGTGAGCCAGTCAGCTACCTGATACAAACAGCAAAATCATCTTGAAAACTGTATTTTATCTTACAGGTATCCCAGCTACACTCAGCCCATTGAAATCAGTGGAACTGCATCTCCACATACCAGGGATGAACATGACTTCAAGTTTAGATGAAGCTGTGAGGGTTTCTGCAGAAGACACTGGCAACACAGAGAATGCAGGGTGGGACAAATTTGTCCCTAGCATAACTAAATTTACCTCGATGGAGTTACAGCACAGATGACTTTGGCTCAACACATGTAAGAACACCAGAGAATGACACGTGCTTTTAGCTGTGTTGCAGACTACAGCAAGTGGACAAATAGATTCCTTCAAAATGACTGCCTCTCCTATTTCTTCTCAGTCTTACAGAAACCTACTTACCTCAGTATGAGCTAAAGAACATGTCTTTACAAGTCTTTTTAAAGATTGGATTGTATCATACTTTGTGAATACTGTAGATATTTATTTTTATATATTTTAGATGCTGTGGAATGTTCTAAAATGTATCATATAAAGAGCTCTAAGTATTTGAAAGAAGTCTCAAACACCATTTATTTATATCCTGTTTCTATAAATGAGTGATTTATTTACAAGGAATGCTTACTTACGCACTAGTGATATTCTGGAATTACTTTGCACTTCTTTTTCTGCTAATTCCCTTGTAGTAAATTCTACGTTCATTATGGAACTTTCACTTCAGATTTATTTGGGGAGATTCCAGGTTACTTTTCTAAGGACAGACATGCTTCTAAGACAGGAACCCAAAGTGCTGCAAGTCACACGTTTTCATAAGATTACACTAAATAATAGCCAATTTTTTTTTTCTTCAGACTCGAGTGCCTAAAAAGTAACTACTTAAATGAAACTTATGTGATGCTTAAAGGTGCTATAAGCTCAAAATTCCTACTCAGGCCAATAGGAATAACAAATGTCAGCACCCCTGAAGGGCAGGACAATTTAACTTTGGTAGCACATTTTAGTCCATAATGTTTCCAAGTGTTGCTCCAGAAGATCTCTAAGGATCTTTAAAATAGAAAACATTGGTTATCTTGCTTGCCGTCATGGTTTCTCTCTCAGCTGCCGTTTAATGCTAATGATACAAACAATTAATAGATTTATATGCCAAGAAAATGTTCACTTTTCAACAATTAAAATAAAATCTTTCTCTCTGGAAATAATAGAGGTGATACCTCATTGGACTGGTAGATCAAGTACTCATTCATTTTCTATCTATGGGATAAGCTCCCTGGCTTGGGGCTTCCTACCATACATTGTAATTTTCCTTCTTAAAGAATGAAGACGTTTCATCACTGGAGACTTAGTCTATGAGGGGAACGTGGCCTATTGGTTACCAAGAGACTAGTCTATAAGAACCCGAGCTACAATCTCCCTGTGGCACTCTTCTTACATTTCAGTTCAGAATTTTCAAAAGGAAGGGTAAGATGGGAGGGAGGACTTGTTTTTCAGTAAAAAAGCATTTGACATAGAAAGAAGACCTTCTCACATGTTCAAATATTTCTGAAAAGCCAATTATTCATAAACAAGATATTATTTGATTAACTTATGTAAATATTTTTTCTAGGTTTTACTTTGACCTGATGTGATGCAATGTACTGTCTATCATGACAGCTGTAGTTTTATGAAACGCTTAATCATTTTATGCTTTAGCTTTTCCCAAAGGCTGTTTTACTTGGCATTGTTGCAATTACTCCTAGTTTACACTGGTGTAAAGTGAGAGGAAAAAAAATTGCATTTGTTTGTATATTAAAGTTTTCTTTTTCTATTAAAAGGGGAAAAGAAGAATATTCTTTTTCTATTAAAAAAAGAATAAAGATAAATACCTAAATGGAAAGAATGTTTAAACATCAAATAAAATCATAGGAATTCCTATATTCCTATGTGTAAACTTATTTTTTTGAGTATAGCTATTATGTCATTGTTATTTCAAGAAATTATTTTACTTTGTCTCTTCTGCAAAAAGAAAACTAAAATAATTGTGGAAAGTACAGCAGGATTTGTTTTTATAGCTATTTCAATTCCTTACCCATTAGAAGGCTATTTTTGATCTTCAGCCACAGAAAATGTAGTATTCTTAAACTGTGTGAAATAAGATATAATTTTTCTATATAATTTGAAATGATTCAACAAACAGCTGCTGAATTAAAACATTATGGAATTGCAATGGAATTTGAAAAGTCTTCTAATTTTTTCTTTTGTTTTGATATAAGTAAAGAAAAAGTCAAAAAGTTAAAATCTAGTATAGCAATCTAGCTGCAAAATAATTCTCAGCAATCATTTAATTGTGCCCTAAAATATTTCCTCAACCCAATGCTGAAAATGTCAATTATGTCAAAATTTTGCAATCCTATACTTTCATTTCAGAAAATGTATTTTTAGCTTTTCCTTGAAGAGAGAGCAAGAATGTAGAAACTAAATGGTTATTTAAGAAAACTTGGTCAGTATCAAACATAAAAGGTCATGGGGGACTGTGGAAGACCAGCAAAATTCTCACGCCTTGTCAGGTGTTTTGCCTGTGAGATCCCTGTGAGATGAATGGGGAGGGAAAGCGTACAGTATTTCTAACTTGGGCCAGCTAACAAAAAACTCAAATAGCAATCTTAGTGATGCTCATGGGAAAAAACGTAAGTAGCATCTTTCTAAAGGGGGGGGGTTGAATAGCACCTGCTAACACAAACTGTCTTCTGCTCCCTTAATGCCAGTAGGATAAACTGTGTTAATTAATCTGAGATAAGAACACACTAAAGGTCATTGGCAGGGTTTTGGCTCCTGTATGTCCCCTGTGACATAGTAGAAATGGAGATTATGGCCTGAATTTACTCATCGTAAGACAAAAATTCTCATTTCTTCTCTTTTCTTATTTTCACTTAGAACTCCAGAATTAAAATATTCCAATGTTGCTAGGATTTTCTTTTAGCCAGAGCTTTAACTTAACAGTACTTTTTGAGTAGAGACTATAAATAAAAACTGAGACATTCATTGACAAATGATTCTGGGTTTTTCTCTGGCCAGATTTTTGTTGAGTAAATAGCATATCTTTCAGACACAAGTGATACAATCAGAGTTTATCTAAGATTTTAAATTCTAAGGATAGGTAAACACAGTGTTAACTAATCCTTTCCAGAGAATATGGTTATCAAGCTAAAGATCAGTTAAATATGGTTATCAGCTAAAGATTTGGTTGTTTTGATGAAAAGATTTTTCATTCAAAAATTTCTGGTTTTTTAAAATGAATATGTTTTGATGAAAATATATGTATGTATTTGTTTCCTTAGTTTTACAAAATTTGAGAAATACCTAGACATTTTATTCTTTAGCTCAGATATCTTTTTAGGCACCATTTCATCAGAAAGATCTTCATAGGTATTTAAAAATCTGTTGACTACCTATGTAAAGTAGTGGTGAGTTTTTTGCAAGTTCTAGGGCCTTTTACTCCAGAAAGATCCAAATATTTGGATACATTCAAAATGTTACCCACCTGGATTTATTTTTTGAATGAAAATAATCACTGGGAATTTTCAGTAAAGATCATAGAATCATAGAATAATTTAGGTTGGAAAAGACCTTTAAGATTACCAAGTCCAACCCTTAACCTAGCACTGCCAAGCTTACCACTAAACCACATCCCTAAGCACCACATCTACACGTCTTTTAAATACCTCCAGGGATGGTGACTCAACCACTTCCCTGGGCAGTTAAACCAAATAATTGATAAAGCCAATAGTGAGCAGTGGCTATTAACGGAGACAGAAATGGCTGAGAGAAGACAGAGTAAGATTTTAAGAGCAATATGTAATTTAATGCCTTTTGCATGTGACAGAAATTAAAGCATCTTAAAGAAACTTCTGGGCTTCTTATCCATCAAAAAAGGTCAGGTGAGGAATGAGCATCTCTTATCCAGTCTATAAATACTGAAAATGATCTGAAAGATGAGCTTTAATTGGGTTTTGTTACCTCAGCTGCTTTGGTATTCTAATATTTCCACTAGCAACTCAGGAACATAGAAGTAGAGTTCTCATAACATTGTTTCTGCTTGGTCATACCATCATTAGACATAGAGTTTAAATCACAACATATTTGCTCCCAGAGTTATAAATTGTTGTGCCACCATCATTCTGGTACTTTGTCTCTTACCATATTTCGCAGTTTTGGCAGTGCGGTATCCTGACCTCTTTCTCCTTTCCTGTTGTCACTGTAGTGATAAGCTTGTGCCCTGCAGTTACAATGTCTGCAAGATAATTTCTCTCCCTCTCCACCTCCAAAAAGGCATTTTTTTTTTCTTTTTCTTCTGGACTGCATAGAGGGCACCATCTCATTCTCTGATATTAATAAAATTGATGGATGTCATTAACCTGGAGAGTGCTTTATAGGAAGGAGAGTACACTAAACATTAGTTTAACTCAGCCCTCGCTGTAAGATGCATTGCAACCTACCGCTGCATGTTACAATGGATTAAGGCCAAAGCAAATTTAGCTTTCCAACCTAAAATTTGTCTCACAACTAAAATTATATTCATCTCTCAGGCTATTCCTTTTACCTGACAATAACGTTTTTCTCTGGCTGTTGGGTACATTGGTTGAAATAGTATTTTGTTTTATTGAACACACTTTCAGGAAAAAAAAAAGAAAAAGAAAAAGAAAAAAGACAACTATGTAGCAATCTTGGCATTAAGAATTTGAATAAAGAATGCAATAAATTAACTAAGTTAAAATCTGAATTTTTTTAAAAAATAAGAAATTATATGCAAGACTGAATTTTTCTGAGCTAAACAAAAAATAAGAAAAATCTGGACTTGGCTGAAGTTTTGCTTTGCCAATAGGGACCAGATCTCACCTACTGCATCCCTACTCTCCTAGCTATGCTGGAAGTTTTATGGTATCTTTTTGTTTTAAGCATTCAAGGACCAAATCCAGTTAAAAATTTTCTGTCTTGGATAAGCAATTTTTAAAAACAAGACTCACGAGCAGCATGGAGAAATCTATAGGGATGTGTTGTTTCCTCCTCCTTCCAGTGCAAAAGCAAAGAGTGTCTAGTGAAGCCAGCAGGTGTATGATTTTATGCTTTATGGTTGCTTTATTTTTTATTAAGTATCCAAGTCAGCTGCTGACTTCTACATGGCAAACTGGTTTTGATGTAGTTTAGTGAAACTCCTAGTCCAGTATAGGTCTAAACTACAGACTAGTTATTTGCTCCTCTGGTCTGCTGTCCAGCATGCTCCATAGC